CCCCAAAACCCCAAAACCCCAAAACCCCAAAACCCCAAAACCCCGAGGAATATCATCAGAATTGACAAGTAAACTTTTAAGAATTATTACTTCAGAAAGAATTTCTGAAAGGAATTTCCTAAATGTCCTGGAGAAATTTCCAGATGATTTTCATTCTAATAATGATAAGACTTGAGGAAGGATTTAGAAACCGAATCCGCCTCCCATATCACATCCACCTCCAATATTTGCTCCACCCATATCTATTCCTGCATGATGGACGGTAGCATCGGCTATTGCTTGATGAACTGCCATATCATGAGCGGTATTATGAACTGTCATATCATGGGCTCCATGATGCATTCCAAAAGGATCGCCTGAGTGAATACCAATGATATCATCAGTTGCATGATGATGACTAGAAATATCAGCAGTGGCATGATGATGACTAGCAATGGCAACTGTAGCATGATGGAGTCCAGTATCAGAAGATGTATGATGGTCTTCATGCTTTACTCCAACATCATGACTTTGACTATCTTCCCCAACACAATGGCTTTTAGGATCTATAACAAAAATATGAGCACACATTTAACTTTTGTCCAGAATACTTATTAGTAAGGTGAAGCAATGATTATACTATTCATAAGAGGTCAAAATTGTTCAAAAATTTAAAACTAAGAATGGGAAGAACTTATTTGGGATATTTCAGAATGTTTCTTACTCTCACTTCCTTCGTCATTGGCTCAGTCTTCATTAGCAATTCTTTGATTATATTTATGATGTTCTCCAATCACTCTTGCTACTTCCTCCTCTCCAGCCTTCAGAACTTCCAAATGAGCTTGCATTGCTGGATCATTCATAGGATCTTCAACTGTGACGGTAGGCTTAGGATAATCGTCACAAGCCTTCTTCTTCTGCTTCTTATTAGTAAAGGTTAGTTTCTCCTTCTTAGTATTCATTTTGTTTTGAGTTGGAGATTTTCTCTGAGGTTTTCTCTCCTGCACCTTCTGCACCTTGCTTGGAGTTTTGGTTATCAAAGCAACACTACTCTTTGCACCTTCTTCCTTCCTCACTACATTTTTAGTAGATACAGCGCTTGAAGGACTAACATCAGGCTTTGATTCCTTCACTACTTTCTTCTTTTCACTATGTTTTAATGTTTTACTAGATGAGCTGCCCATTTAATTTTTAAAATTACAAATCTCACAGTCAATAAATACTTTTCCTAACGGGGTTTTGGGGTTTTGGGGTTTTGGGGTTTTGGGG